CGGCATTGATGTAACAACATTCATAATTAAGTAAAGATAACACCCTTTTCACCCCGGTTACATTTTCCATTTCCCCTGAGAGGCTCAGTGAGGTAAAGGACTGTTTAAATAGTTAACTTTAGTCTAAGTTATCTCAGTGGGTCTCAAACGGTTTGGTCACAATTTATGTAAACAAATATTTCCAAGGCACTCCTTTATAATTATTAGGATAAATAAAAACAGGTTTGAAATCATTCCAATGTATACTATAGACAGTAAACCAAAAATATCCTTTAAAACTGGAGAGATTAAAAAATATGCATAAATAAATAACTGTTAACTACGTAAAATAAGATATAAATGAACAACAAAAATAAAGTACGTTACATTTATTTGTTATTGGCTATGGTAGGTTATTGGTTATGTTCACATACTTATTTGATTATTAAAATGTAAACCGATCTTCTTCATATGGGTGTTTTAGAGTTGTACCTCCTAGATCCAGTCTCTTGTAATTATGCTCAAAGTGCTCCAGATTGAAGCATTTTACTTTAAAATGTTAAAAACAATCTTCCCGGGGGGGCATACCCCCGGACCCCCTTAGAGGATGTGACGTGTTAAAACATGTTAATACAATACTAAATACATTTTAAGCCTTTTTATATAAGCTGTCCAACATGTCAATAATGCGGCTTTCACACCAGTGCTTTTCCCATTCTAGCTCCGAGCTAGAGCTTTTCTGGTTCAGCTCCGGTTTCCCTTTTCTGCTCCCGCTCTGTTCACACCGCCCAGAGCCCGACTGGTGCTGCCGCTGCTGCGTCATGACGTCACCGTTTACATCGCTGATTTGCTCCCCAACGGCGCTCACAACAACAACAACAACAACAACAACAACAACAACAACAACAACAACAACGGGGGACTGCGTCGGGTCGATGATCGTGTTGCTTTTAATCATACGAAGCCAGATTAAATTAAATAACGACTTCTCCAACCTTATACTTTTCTCCAGAGTGCCGTGGTTCATTGTTTATTAATGTGTTTCAGCGGCATTTACCGACCGCTGCAGTGCTGCTGCTCTTCCACGGGAGTTTATTCTCCCGTTAGCTCCGGGTTAGCTCACACGGCTCTAAAGTATTCACTGTCTGACTGTCACACAAGCAGCTGATACATATCCCCAGTTCCCCTTAAAGTGGACCTATCATGGTATATTTAAATGATATAGGGCCATACCTATATAAGGTATATTTATACGTTTCTGTTTTCAAAATACCAAACAGATCATGCATTTTAGCCATGCCTCATTTTGCTCAATTTGCACTTTTTTTTAGCTCTGCTCTGCAAGGGCAGATTCAGTGAGAACAGCACCATTTACTGGCCTGGCATATGTACTACAGCGTCTCCAGCGCTTTCGAACGGCAATGGTCATGGCTGTCTCCTCCTGATTGGTGGAGTTGGCCCAATAGCCGTAGCGCCACCGTCCTGACGTCAGGACAGTGTTCAAATCTGGATCAGTTTTTATCAGATCCGTTGCAGCCTCTTTTTTAGAGATTTGGGTATGGAGGAAAATAGAGAGGGTTGTGTTTTCTGACACTTGGTGAGTTCCCTGGATCACCGGGGACACATATTCATGTATAAAAGACGTACAAAAGTGCATTTTGCATGATAGGTCCCCTTTAAGTTGCAGCCGCATGTATTGATTCCATCCGATAGCTGCTATAATACAAAACAAACGTCTCTCCACAATGATCAATAACAGCGAACGGATGGTCAAAGTAAGGTACAAATAAACAGAATCACACGAAGCCTGGTTAGTGTTGCCTGACTTTATAAAGTGTTTTTTTTTTTATAAGTGTGTTGTTGCCTTCTAGTCACTTTGCTCAGCGCTACTTCTTGTAGGCAGGCATGACGAGACTCTTCAGTCGACCCATGTTCAGGGGAGGTGGGTTTAGTTTCCTGCACGCCTCGACGGGGGGGGGGGGGGGGGGGGGGGATGCCAGCTAAAATCTTGCCTAGGGCAGCAAATTGGTCAGAACCGGCCCTGGTGTCATCCCCACAGCACCCCCCATTTGAAACATGTTCCCACGGCTATGTCAGATGCATTCTTTATCACTGTTACGCCCAGATCTAGGGGAAACTAGGCGCAGCATAAAATTGCCCTCTCCCAACTCTTCCCACTCCCAAGAACATGGACACCGAGACAGAGAATGCCGTTTGGTCATTTTAATTACCAAAGTTTTTAACAAAGAAACGCAACAACCCACAAAACAAACAAATCTCTGAACACATAAATATTGCCTAACAAATAAGAAAAATAAACGTACAGGCTTCTTACCTACTCTGACGTATAAACAGGAGAAAACGAGAATCAACCAAAAGAAAAGGGTTTCACACTTTTGCATAAATTAAAGCGTGTCCAACAAGGACAGGTTAAAGTAGTTTCTTTTCTGAGGTTTTCAAGACAAGCAAGAGGACCAGTATACGGTATAAGTAGGACACAACAGGACAGATACGGGAGGAGGGAACAATATCTACACACAAATGACATAACGACCCAGGGTCGTAACAATCACCATCATCATCATGTTACAGTGATACAGTTAGTTTGTGTTAGTTTATTGGTTCAACTTTCTTCATTGTTTTTTTTGTATTCAGTCAAGCGGGTCAAAGTTACAAAGCACTTCACATCTTGCTTTTCTACAGATTACCTTACCACTGCACTGGTAAGGTAAAACTAGGCCGGTTAATAACGTATTTAGGTCAGCCTTAGTAAGGCTACATTAAATGCATATATTCCTGTCTATTGCTTTCATTTGTATTTAATGTTATTGTTTCCACACATTTCACAATTTGGGATGAATGAGGTATCTATCTATCTATCTATCTATCTATATATCCATCTATCCATCCATCTATATATCCATATATCCATCCATCCATCCGTCTGTCTGTCTGTCTATCTGTCTGTCTGTCTACAGATAGACAGATAGATAGATAGATAGATAGATAGATAGACACCCATGAAACAGAACTGTAAACAGATGTACTTTTTCTTTATGGATATTTTACAAATCACTCCCCTTTTTAAACTGTATTCTTGTTTTACTGTCATATAGTATTTCATACCTGTTTTTCATTTATTCTCTTATTGTTTTATAGCCTAACTATAATGATCATATGAAGTGTGCCTCGGAAATACTTGTTTACATAAATGGTGATCAAACTGTTTTGAGACCCACTGAGATAACTTAGACTAAAGTGAACTATCTAAACACTGAGAGTCCTTTACCTCACTGAGCTGACGTTATCTGACAGGAGAGGACTTTCCTTTCACTTAGTTGTAGAAACAGCTTCTAATATCGGTTAGCGCAGCAACAACAATCTTGCTCTCTCTCTCTCTCTCTCTCTCTCTCTCGCTCGCTCACTCGTGCCACACAGACACACACGGAGCCGAGCTTGAATGAAACACCCAGAAGTAGGCTACTTGTACTGTACTGTAGCAGCATATCATTTTCGAATCAATCATTTTTCAAATTACGAAGTTCACATATATTATATTATACGGACGGACAGACGGACATATAGATAGATACTTCATTCATCCCAAATTGTGAAATGTGTGGAAACAAGTATAAACATAATAACATGAAATACAAATGAAAGCAATAGACAGGAATATATGCATATACAGTAGAAAGGACACAATGAATATTATAACATTTGATGTAGCCTTACTATGAAGGCTAACCTAAATACGGTGCTTTTTTACAGATGACCTTATCTGTACTGGTAAGGTAAAACTTGGCCGATTAATAAGATGTGAAGTGCTTTGTAACTTTGACCCGCTTGACTGAATACACAAAAAACAATGAAGAAAGAGTTTCCTCTGGGCTGCTTCGCTGCCAGCTGCTCCGGGACCCGAAAGTGGCAGAGCCTGTACTTCAACATCAATGCATACGAATGTGCTCGATATATGCTGTATTGAACCAATAAACTAACACAAACTAACTGTATCACTATAACATGATGATGATGGTGATGAAGAATGCATCTAACGTTCCGCTGTTCATTATAATACAAAAACAGAGTATTAAACAAACCATCATGCTCTTACTTTGAAATCATGCGGAAATGTTGTCATCAGCAGGCCATCACGTGGTTTCCGAAAACAACCGAGTGACACGAGTAGATTTTTTGCCGAGACCGGCGGAAAGTATGTCTCAAAATTCCGTGTGTGTAAAAAGACGATCCACAAGCAGAGATTTGAGATCCACAAGCAGAGATTTGAGATCCGCAAGCGCATTTTTGGTTGACAAATACAAAATGGATTCACAAATGCCTGATCGAAAGTTGTCAATGTTAAAGAGATATTCACAGATCTTTTTTTTATTTGTGAAAATATTTAGCGTATTTGCAGATCCGTTTTACATTTGCAAATTTATTTGTGAGTTTGCAAATCTTTTAAATGCATTTGTGGATGGTGTTTTACATTTACAAATCACATATTTACACACAAATTATTTTTCTGTTCACACAAATAATTACGAGACATATCTATGCCCATAGACAGCAGCCAGCAGGGCAGGACAGCAGCAGCCAGCGACTCGCGAGTGCGACACACACACACGCGCATGATGGCTGAGAGAAAGAGGAGCGTTGTGTGGAGCTATTTCACAACTGACAATGAAAACGTAGCGAGCTGTGATGTGTGCAAGAAGGCAGTTCGCTACTCTGGCCACTTTGTATTGTTATTTTTCATGTTTGCACTTTAAATTTGCAAAAATAAAACGTTTATTTGTCTATAAAAACGGTCCTGTCTTTATTCATGAAAATGAATTCAGATTTAGTCTATGATGCTTTCAGCTCAAAAATCATGTCATGCAGGTCTCCCCTATATGGAAGTATATAAGACGCTTTTCATTTTAAAAAGTATCAGTATCGATATCGGTATCGGCGATACTGGCCCTGAAATACTTGGTATCGGATCGAATCCAGATTTTGTGGTATCGCCCACCCCTAGTATCCAGACTGATGTTTGCCTGAGGGGTTTTGATAACTATCTGGGACATGTGAGCTACTTTACGCCCTGCTTTGAGCCAATGGCCGGGTAGTTTGAGTCACGGGGGGCGGGAGCTTCGAGCAGCAGCGGACCTTTTCATCCCGATCCCCGATCCCAGCTCTCAGCAAACAGTCTCAGGACCCTCTCAGGTAGAATATCGACCATGGCTGGATCCTCAGTGACCGAAGGTGCAGCGGAGCGGCTCGGATACATCACCCGAGTCCAGAGCTTCAGCGCCTGCCACCGACTCCACAGGTACAGGTAGCAGCTACGTCATTACGTTTTTATTTACAGACCGCTATATACAAACGTTATATACTTATTACCTAAATCTCGCGGTAATACACATAGTGGTTTGTGCCGATAGAAGTTGGGAAGCGTGACCAGGTTGCAGGGTTGTTAATTAAATTAAAGGTAGCCGTGTTAGGACAGAAATGGTCGACGGATATAGTCTGCTGCTTCCCGGTATGGAAGTCCGTTTATCCTGTCTACAGTGTACAACAAGCGACCGTTCAATGTTACCGATAGCCGTCCTTGTTTACTGCCAAACATTTGAATTGAACAAAACCTTTGGCAGTTTTATATCTCTATCTTATTATACCATTACCATTTGATGACATGAGAAAGGGCCACAGTAGGTACCCCGGAGGTACCGTCAACATATCTGTCCGTGCGGAAACAATACCCCCAACCTGTAGTTCCTGGATTGAATTATGTAACCCCAGTGTATGAATCATGCCCCTTTCACACCAACGCAACTCCGGTTCAAGCTCCGTGCTAGAGCTTTTCTGGTTCAGAACCGGTTCTTCGGTTTAGCGCCGGCTCTTTTCACACCGCTCAGAGCCCGACTGGTGCTGCCGCTGCTGCGTCATGACGTCACAGTTTACGTCGCTGAGTTTCTCCCCAACGCCGGAGCTCACCTCACAATAACAACGGGCCGGGGACTGCGTTGCTTTTAATCATACGAAGCCAGATTAAATTAAATAACGACTTCTCCAACCTTATACTTTTCTCCAGAGTGCCGTGGTTCATTGTTTATTAATGTGTTTCAGCGGCATTTACCGACCGCTGCAGTGCTGGCCGGCTGCTCTTCCACGAGTGTATTCTCCCGTTAGCTCCGGGTTAGCTCACACGGCTCTAAAGTATTCACTGTCTGACTGTCACACAAGCAGCTGATACATATCCCCAGTTCCCCTTAAGTGAATGTGTGTCAGTCTGAATTGACGCTGTTTGGTGTCAGTCTGAATTGACGCTGTTTGGCATCACAACGCTGTTATGAAAGTTTCTCTGGTATAACATGGGTGATGTTAGCATAGCAACCGAAGCTAAACTGACTACTTGCTAAGCAGTTTTCTACAGGCACTTTTTACCGACGTATTTTTCATTATGATTCTACTTGTGATAGTCGGACATGACAACCTGTGCAGCCCATGTATTGATTCCATCCGATAGCTGCTATAATAACAAACAAAACGTCTGCCTGCTCTCCACAATGATCAATAACAGCGAACGGATGGTCAAAGTAAGGTACAAATAAACAGAATCACACGAAGCCTGGTTAGTGTTGCCTGACTTTATAAAGTGTGTTTTTTTTAACAAGTGTGTGGTTGCGTTCTAGTCACTTTGCTCAGCACTACTGCTTGTTACAACTTTTATTTGCCGTACTCGCCTTAAGTGTTAGCTCAGGTTAATCTCGCCCCCCTCCGACGTAAGCGTGACGTATGCGGTTCTTGCTTCTAGACGGACAACTTTTTGGTGCTCGAAACGAACCGGATTCCGGAGCTATGACGCTGCTCCGCTGCGGTGTGAACAGGATACCCGGTGCTTTTCAAGCACCAGCACCGAACCGGCCCTGAAACACCGTTGGTGTGAAAGGGGTATCAGTGATCACTACAGCACTGACTTTACCTGTTGGTTTATTTATAGGGCTGCTCCATATAGTATACAAAAATGGAAATTGCAATAGGCTATAACGTTTATACATTTGACGTTTTATATATAAATATATTTATTTTAATTATCATATTGTCATGTGGATTAGTATTCATATCTGTATTTTACATGGACGCCCCCCCCCCCCCCCCCCCTGTTATTTACGGTAACAGTAACAGTTTAAGCTCCTATTTCTGTCATCATTTTTACTTGCTTACTTGCATTTTATTATTTGTATCATCATCATTTCTGTGTGTAATCACAGAAATGATAACTGAAAAAATCAACAACAATTGTTAAATGCACCAATCCGGTACTATTACATTTTAAAACATATTATAGTATGTCATTTTTTCTTTTGTTTTTTTAATACTAAAATATGTTAGTATTTCTGATATTTTTGACCTAGCCTACTATCTTTTACATATTTGCGACATACTACACTAAGTTGTTTTTTTTACATATTTTCGACATACTATACTATGTTGTTTTTTACATATTTTCGACATACTATACTATGTTGTTTTTTACATATTTTCGACATACTATACTAAGTTGTTTTTTACATATTTTCGACATACTATACTACAGTAGGCTATGTTGTTTTTTTACATATTTTCAAAAACAGATTTCTCTGAAATACAATCCTATATTGTTTTCAGATATTTTTGGCAGACTACACTATGTCTTTTAATTCATATATTTTTGACATACCTTTCGACATGCTCTCTGCCTGGTTTCTGCCGGTTTAGGAAGCGCTTGATTTGACATGCAGCAGCGTTTTCTATCAGCATAGCACGCATTTTAAACACATGTATTGTAAAGTTACAGTGCTGAATATTTGCTGATGACGAAAGACTAGAGCGTTGGCATATAACCTCCTGACAGCCCCCGCCCAATTGAACCTCTGTTGATACCCATAAACTGGCATCTTAACGCATGTTTTGGAAATCTACAACTTGAGAAACTAGAACTAGAGAATGGTTTGAGATTAATTAAAACAATGTATTGATAACCAAAGTTGAGTGTCCGAGGTGCATCTATAAACACTTCTCTTATGTTCCTTCCTTGTTTTTACCTGAACTTCTTTTCCAGCATTCACCTGAGTGATGAGGAGAATAAAAGAGTTTATGGTAAATGCAACAATCCCAACGGTCACGGACACAACTACAAAGGTTTGTCACACTCTTTATATTGTAAAAATGTTGTTTGCTTTTACATTGCCATTCCCATTCATTCAATGTCCTCCTGTCTGTCCACAGTGGAGGTAACAGTGCGTGGAAAGGTCAGTATCTATCTGTTGTTATACTAAATCAAACTGCTGTGTTACTTTTTGAGACATTTTTCAAAATATATTTCAAGCTTCATCCGCCATCTGTCATTTGTAATATGAATTATATTTGGAGAAATATTTTAGGTTTCGTAACTGATAATTAAAAAAAGAATAATTCAGTATTTAGTTCTGCACCATAATTATTTTCCTTCAGTAGGGAGGAACAGAATTGATGCACTTCATGTATTTGTAGTCATCACAATTTCCCCCAGAACACTTACATGACTAACTCAAACGATCTGTTGGATGTGTGTTTGACCCTCCTCCTGTGAACGCCCACAGATCGATGCTCACACCGGGATGGTCATGAACCTGACGGACTTGAAGGCGCGCATCGAGGTAAGAACAGAAGAAGGAATACTTTATTATATCATCCGACGTGATATCTCAATGATCGAGCTGCATTTTTAACAGTTCCTGACTCCTGGGTGCAGAACGTCACAAACTTTGGGCATTATCACAAGTTAGACATACAGTATTATCAACAGTTGATATGGCTTATGTGATAGCAAACAGTTCACCCTTCTGGCATACACAGAGCAACATAAAATACAATCATTTACAGTTTCTGTGTTGAGAAATGTGGGGCGAATCAGAACAGTAGCATTGCAGGCCTTAAAACTGAAATAATCAGCAGAAAAGTGTCTTCTGTGGCTTTTTACTGACTAAATGACATTTATTCTGTACTACAGGAAGTCATCATGATTCCACTGGACCATAAAAACCTGGATAAGGACGTCCCATACTTTGCCAAAGTTGTCAGGTGAGTTTCCTCTTCAGTTTAATTTAGTTCCCCCGATGGTGTTCACATTAAAATTACACTCATTCCTGCTCTCTTCTGTCCACTCAGCACCACTGAGAACGTGGCTGTTTACATCTGGGATCACATGGTGAAGCTGCTGCCGCCCAGCCTGCTGTACGAGATCAAGATCCACGAGACCGATAAGAATATTGTCATTTACCGAGGAGAGTAGAACGCTGTTTGATGCAATCCAAAAGTATTCTTGTAGGTTTTCTATTCATGTAAAGGTAAAAACATAATGTGTACCCTGACAGTGTCAACCAAAGGCTTTTAATTGTTATTTTATCTTAATTATTTTAAGGATTTTCCACATCTCTTTTACTGCTTTTAGACCTTTTACAAACCCAAGAACCCACACTGCTGAGAAAAGTAATTTTGTGATCGAATGTTATTTGTCTTCTTAGGCATAACGCATTCAATGTATTTTGACAAATACAATGACTAATAAAACAACAACTTGATAACCAAAGAGTAACACTTTATGATACAGACCCATGGTGTAGTTACACAACACTGATGGTGTCATATTGTCAAACATAAATAATGTTTTTTACATTTTCTTATTGGTATTTTTTCAAGCAAAGGATTTAAGAACTTCTTCCAGCACTACCTCACAATCAACATTTTACTCGCTAACCAGCCAAGTTATCATTTATGTTAAAAGACTTGGTGGCATGGATACACACAATTAATTTGTATGTAGTTTAACTAAACAAGAATGACTGTTGTACTTTATACAATAATAATAACTTTATTTGTATAGCACTGTTCATGTAAGAATTCAGCCCAAAGCGCCCAACAGAATAAATGGACATTGAATGAGCTAAAATACTTTTTGACACCATCGGTAGGACTGTGTACTGCATCAACCACACATAAAAGTTTAGCTATACGTACTTGTACACACGATAAACTAAACGGGGAACCAGTCAGAGAAAAACAGCTACGAGACTCCTTTGCACATCCTTTACTGAACGGTGCTCTGAACAGCCAATCAAGTGCTGTGGATGCTGCAAAAGAAAAGACCTCCTCCTCCGACCAGACTCTGCTAACTCCAACTCTGTACATACACACGGCCAGTCAGTGACTGTGATAGAACAACAGTGTTTATTTCTAGGTGAGACGCTCTTTGTTCCAACAACACAGTACAGCTCTGTACACACAGAGGACATCACTGTTACATTAATAATACACTGACAGAGCATTGGTTAGATGACAATACAACCATTTCTCATTTGAATAAAGGCTCACTTTTGAGGCTGTAAAGTAAGTATAAGTAAAGCTTTATTTTCTAAAAATAAGTACGTAATAGTACTTCAGAGTTGGATATATTCATGTGTGAGTACACCTATTTATTATTACCTAGCATTCCTGTCCAAAACATTATTTTCAGGTATTAGCAAATGCTTATACCTGTACATGCCAAAATGCCAACAGTATTATCAGTTAAACCCTTACTGCGCACACACTGACGTAGCCATTTGTATCTTGTTACTCAGAACCTTCATAAACATCAAATCTCCCCTAAAAAGAATTGTTGTTTTTGAAGAGACATCTTGTGTCTAAAACTCTGGTAAAGTGTTTTTAAATGCCAAAGTTGAAATAAGAGATGTGTTGGAATGTAATACATGGGTGAAAGTGTACTGTTTCACCAGTATGAGAACGAGAATAATTCTCACTCTCTTTCTCGTGTCAGATAAGGCTCATGAGTGTTGGCGAGATATACTCTAGCCAGCACAAACATGTCATGCTTAAATAAAACATTTACTGAACAAGGAATCGTCCCCACAAACAAGCAAGAGAGAAAGTCAATCCTGTTAAAGTCCCTGGTCTTCCTGCTCTGGCTGCAGGGGGTCACATGGTTTCAGAGGGGACACTGTGCTAACGCCTCAGAAGAAGGTGGTGTCTGAGGAGAAGGCCCCCGCCAGCCTGAACTCCTCCTTCATCAGCACGCAGAAGAGCCTCTGAGGCAGAGCTTTGGAGTAGGGGGCCGGGCGGGGGACGCAGGTCCGCAGCAGGATCTCCCGCCCCGCCGGGGGGGGGAAGTCCGGCACCTTGTTGCTGCCTCCGCCCGGCTTCTTCTCCAGCCCAAATTCATCCTCCATCGGGGACAGGAGAGCAGCCTTGGGGTGTGGGGGGGGGGGGAAAGGTAAATGTTACTAACCCGCAGAGAAAGGGTGTGGAGGTGTGTGTGTAGTTTGCAGCCTGGTACACCAGTTTATACAGTAGGTAAATACACTCATGTAAGCTTCATCACCCATCTGTGGCAAACATGTAACTGGTGCCACTGAATTATTCTACATTGAATAGAACAATTCCATCATGATTAAAGGACACATCATGTTGAACTCCATGAGTCAGGAACAAAGATTCACTTTAGAGACTAAAACGAGGGCACAGTCTTAGTAAGATTACATTCTACCCCTCCTTTAATGGTACACTGACATTCATCTTTGGAATATACTGTACATATGTATATTACTTTTTTCTGTACCAAAATCTAATCCAGGATCTCATCATAACGCTGTCGATGATAGCTTTCGTTTGGCATGTAGCACCAGTTGTGCTTTGTTCAGTAATGAGTCCTAAAACATGGAAATGAGTCTGCATTTGACCACTTCATGTTTCCTTGTCTCAAAGTCAATGGTTTCATGAGTGTGTTATTGATCTGTTAAACCACAAGCTGAAGACATTTACATGTTTTGTTCTACAACATGAAGTAAGTCAGAAAACTTCTTTGTGTCATAAAAACGACCAAATGAGACAAGGAAACGCTTAATGCTAAACATTTGTAGCCTTTGGCTTAGCGATGGTAATGTGGGGTGGGGTATTTACTGATGTGTCGGACGTAGAACAAAACCTGGAAATCTCTTCAGCTTGTGTTAATCACAGATCTTTTAAATAATACTCACTCATTCCCAGGTTTTAAGACTCATTCCTGCACAACTCTATTGGAGGTATGAATGAGTTAAATGAGTTAAAAGAATAATCTGGAAACCAGGCATGTTTGCTTATTTCTGTGTTACTCAGGGACTGTTGAGGGGTAGAGGTTTACAGGAAGTCTCGTTGCTATGGTTACCTCGTCACTGGTGAAGTCAGCCAGCTTCACGTAAGCAGCAGGAAAAGACACAGAAAAATACATTCGAATACAGGAAATGTATAAAAGAAAAAAAAAAGAAAAGTCATGTGTGAAGATCTGAGGAAATGCTGGTTGCCCATTACCTCAAAAAGCTACGTAACATCACAGTGAGAAAACACACATGAAACAATACACTGAAGTACCACCACCATATAATGAGACAACCAGGGGGAGAGGGGGGGGTCTTACCCTCTGAGAGTTGATGAACAGCCTGTGGATGATGCTGCCGGCTGGCCCCTGCCCCGCCCCCAGCACCACCACCTCCGGATCCTCCAGGAGAGAGCTCACAAACCTGGAGCAGGAAGTGAAACATGACTTCAGTGGTTCTGGTTCAGGTTATTGATTTATACAGTCACAAAGGCAATTCAAAGTGCTTCACATCGGCATCAACAGATTATAATGAACAAGAAAGCAAACAAAAAGACAATTCACAAGAGATAGTTCCAGGTTTGTGGCGCATCGAAGCTAAGAGCTGAGATTTAGTTCTGACCCTGGGGACGAGGAGTAAACCCCCCCCCGATGATCTGAGAGCGGGTGGCTCGTAACAGTGAGGCATGTCTGACATGTACTGTGGTCCCAATCCATCTAGTGCTTTGTCAAAGTGAGGTTTTGAAGAGTATTCTTTGTGTTATTGGAAGCCAGAGCAGATTTGTGAGAACTGGGGTGTATGCTCTATTCTTCTGGTTCTGGTGTGGGCATTGTGTGTGTATGACAACATGTGGTCCTACAGAGCAGCAATACCATCTGTTTAGATCTTTTGACAGATTTTGTCACATCTAACTGTGTAAGATGATGTCACAAAACTTTACAGATTTGTAGTTGGTTTACATTTGAGGCCCTGTTTGGCGTCACAACACCTCACAGTTGTACAGAATGTCTTTCTCTGTGTCTCTGTCTGACATGCTGCTCAAATAAAACCATGTGTAACTTACTTCTCTAGCTCTTCTGTGTCCTCTGCCGTCCCGCCCTCACAAGTGGCAAACTTGGCCTTCAGAGACCGAGCCTGAGTGATGGCTGTCTCCAGAGCCATCAGCTGGTTAATGAAGTCCTGCAGATAGGAGAGAGCCAATGAGCTGTGAGAACAGGAGCAGGAGGGACAAAGGCAATGGAACTTAACTAACTATAAGGCACTTTGTAATACAATTCATCATGCTGACCATACAAAGCACAACCAATTAGAATACAGCTGTATTAAGCAGGGGACGTAACCATAGAAACAAAGCTAACTAGCTGTCACCCCAAGGCTCTGTGCCATACCTTGTGGTGAGCGAAGAACAAATCTCATATCATGTGAAGGCAGCTTAACCCCTGTATTCTACCGGGTCCGTCTGTGCCGCGTTACGGCCGCGCCACGGCCATGCGTCCCAGAAGCGTCCCAGAAGCGTCTCGGCGCTGGGCTCCGCTAAAAATAGGCGGCTGGTCTATTTTTGACGTGAGGCGTTGCATAGCGCCGGGCAGGAAGTGGACCGGTCAGAGCATCCGGCCCATCCTCAAAATAAGCTAATTTTGCAGACCCTATCCCTCCGTAGTCTTTCAAGTAGGAGGAGAAATGCCAGCGTTCTCCTCCGGTTTACAGACACTGTGTAAATTATATATATAGAATAATTATGATGATGAATGCATTTTTTTACCACTAAAATACAGCAACACATCTTTGATTCATGTCGTTTATAACTGGAATATTACAGTTATTATTAACTTTGTCTGTACAAAGTAGCCTGTCCAGGAAATATGCCCAAATCAACAAAAACTGTGAGCCGGCAGGCAAGACTCTCCGCTTCTGAAACGCTCCGCTTCTGAAACGCGCCCGGTGGGGTATGACGCTGTAGGAGGTCTGAACAAAACCGCGGCGCAGCCGTAACGCGGCGCAGACGGACCCGGTGGAATCCCGGGGTAAGAGTATGCTAAGCTAGGTTCCACTTTTAAATAGGCTGCGATCATGCATAAATGACCCAACAATGAGCAAGGAGATCCGACTGTTCAGAGGTAAACCCAGAAACATGGCTGTTACATTTGTCAGTGCAGAGTCCAAGGGTTTTTCAATGATGTATTTATCTTCATATGGATTTGTAAGCAAGTATTAAGGAACTGATAGTTCTCAATTGGAGAGAAGGTCTCTAAACTTTTGTGCTTCTTCACTTTGTGGTTTGGAGCTTAGTTTCACTAAAAAAAAAAGGTGATTTCTTTCTTAAACTAGCTCTAAATGCCAGAGGGGTCAGTTCCCACAATACCATCTGGGTCTGGGTTTTCCTAGCTTTTCTTCAACTGTATAAAAGAAATGGAGTGTGTTGAAACAACTGTATATAGTTATTTTATGTTATACTATTCTAATGTTAATATGACAATGATTGAGTATTGAATCATAAATGATTTAGTAATGCACCTAACTAATATTTTTTCTCAGAGTACGCTGCCACAT